ATAATACTATAGTCGTTTTATATTTGAAAATATTGATACGATAAAATTATTCGGTTATCACTTGGTACCGATCCCAGTTTTATGTATTTGTCTTCTAAGTAGAAGACGAAGAAAAGATTATTTAAGAAAAAGAAAGACTAATATTTTCAATTTCGTTAGAGGACAATAAATAACGCTTCCAGTTTGGCTCATCGCGTATTTGTAGGCTCGGGGAATTCTGTCCACGAGGCAGGGAAAACCATATCACATGAACGGGTAAAATGGTAAATACAAATAAATATAAATGTATGGAACAAGTGCATTAGTAACTACGTGCAATAGTCGTGATGAAGGATCCGGTACCGTGAGGCTGCGGGTTCTGCGTGCGTCATACACGACGTGGAATCCCCAATCATCGAAAGTAACTAGTTGGATATTCTAATATCATTTTGTAACACTGAATATTCATCATCATTACCTAATACTTTGACTTTGACATACTTTACATAACAAAAATGGTATTATGGCTAAATAAAATTTAATTCTATATGACATTTCGATTTATCTTTAGTCGGTTTTAGGAAAACGTTTATAAAACCTCAGATAGACTGACCAACGAAACCGGCCTGTATAAGTGTATAACCTTAGGTCGTGCAATACGCATGACTCGCCTTCCAACCACTCGTGCGCACCGAGCCTAACCTACGTAACTCTATCACAAATTGAGATACGGAATGTACCGTCTACCTATATTTACCTTCATTATAATAACAGTGACAACTTTGTGCAATTTATTGTTACTCGTAAAATGTTAGACTGCGATTGTTGAGCCTTAGCTCAGATTGTGAATGACAATATTCTGGTTGATGAACTCAACAATATGCTCGATGTGCTCAACAATATTTCAGTTACCGTTTTTAACGTGTCCAAAAGTCATTTGTAATTTAAAGGCAAAGATTTTAAAATTGTTTCAAGTGTTATTTTGTTTGCAAATATGTATTTGGGTACCTGTCAACTGTAGTTATGTGCATTTGATTTCTTAATATTATTGAAAAACTATACTTGGCAGGCACAGTGACTGGCTTTGATTCCTGGTTGATATGGATTATTAAGTTGTCACTGTCAGTTGTTAAGAACTTAAAAATCTGACGGTTTTTATCTAGAATATAGTAACATAGCAGGTTAAGTAACCCAGATATTACCCCTATAGTCGTTTTATATTTTAAAATATTAATACTATTGTTTGAGAAAATTAAACACAATATTTTACATATTTTGTGTGTAATAAAGATGGTATTTTTGTGTAAGTACTGAAACGTGTATCTAGTAAAATGAATTCGAAACGGAAGTAACTGAAACAGACCTTGTTTTCCCGCAACTGTGCAAATAGTCCAACATGTCACATACAAGGTAATTACGTACTTTATAAATATAAAGTATAATCTAGTATTGTTCGTAGTTTGTATGAAACACGGAAACGGCTGCATACTAACATACTTAGTTAATCAATTATCGCCAATAACTACCAATTGAATAGTTCGTCGTTTAGGAAATGTCGCAGAGCATACATAGGTCTTAGTAATTACAACTAATTTACAATAGATTACACTGGTTTAGCACAATTTTATGTGTTTACGAGTGTATGTATGAAATCAAAAAATTATGCCAATTTATCTTTCTCCACTCTATGACAAAATGATAAAGTTGAAGATGTTTTAAAGAAAGTCCCTTTGGAGTGGCTGGATGAGCCTGTACGGACATAGTATAGAAATTGTAGTTCTTACCTTGAGCCATGGTCAGGAGCACTGCCTTCTCCGCGCCCAGGGCAATGATAAACTGGCTTCTTCACCGCGGAAACCTTGCCCATGCAACTAATTGTATTAGACGTATTATCTGCTATGCTTTATTTCAACATTATCTATGCTGTTCTTAAACAATACCTCGCTCAAGATTCAACCTTATCGTGTAAGGAATAAGGTGGCGCTGCTAGTTCTGCATCAGCTCCTGAGTGTGGTATGTACTGTATACTCAGCAAAGTGTGGTACGAAGAGTTTGTGTGTACGTGAATTAATCACATTTTACGATTTGATTGCTGGTGTACACGTGGTTGATAAGTGTTGTGATGTCATCTCCTAGACCTGAAGCCGAATCCACATTACATGGAGGTAGGAGTAAGATTATTTTGCGAGCAACACTAGATGTAGGGATTGTATGTACAATTACGACCATACGTCACCAGATGATAACCGATTTATCATTATTACAATGAACACATGAAGACGAGAAAATGTGCGGGTTTTGTATGTATGGCTAGTACCTACCTACTTAGATATATCTGTCTTCAGATCACACATGAACCACTTAAGATTGTATTGAAACTTCATAAAAGTAAATATTTGTTATTGCCCTCTTTTAGTAGACTTTGATAATTGCTTTACCTACAATAAACCTCGGCTTGAAGTATTCACCGCAAAATATACTGTGGCGTGACACTCGTTTTATGAGCGGTGGAGTAGATATCGTCATACTCATCATCATCATCAACAACAGCCGGTAGAGGTCCACTCGTCAACAAAGGCCTCCTCCTTAGTCCTCCACATCGAACGACGACACGCCACTAATTATACGAAAGACTTCCTCTTGACTGTGTAACCAAACGAAGAAAAAAAAAGAAAAACTGCTTGGATTTAATGAGAACATTAAGTACCTACAATATTATAACATGAGATAGTGATGTTTCACCGGTCAGTCATGGCACTCCTCATCACCTAAATGATCGGTAATGCACATGAACTTCCATGGAGTTGCGGATATCTATAGGCAGCAAAAATTGCTTACCATCAGACGTACATTTGTACCAGTATGTGTAGTTTAACCTGTGTGACTGCATTAAGCCAAGTTCGTATTCACAAGATGACTGCAACATGTACTATATCTAGTCGACCGTACTCTGGTCACACGACGCGACGCAGAAGAGTATTCTGTGGGAGAAGTTATCTAACTATTCAGTCGCAACATTGTTTTAAAAGTAGTTACAAGTTCGGTGCCGGGTTAGTTATCTCTTTGTTGTAAAATACACTGGCAGCAAGTTGCGATGCACATACATAATGTATCGCCACGATTGTGTAAGGCAGTCGGTCACCACGGAAACTTTACTTCTAACGTGTGAGTTGTGTGCTTCATTTAGAGGTAGTTTGACTAGGTTTAGATAGTCATGTGCGTACGTACGATAAAGGTAAACCAAGTTCCAGAGGTGATAAATGAAATGAAACCCCAATATAATAATATCACCATGTGTGACCATTACACTATACACAACTCGCTATTTTAATATAAACCTACTAATAATACTTTGTCCAACAACCTGAGACTCGACGAACGTGATAGTCAAAGTGGTCAAAGCTTAGCCTTAACCTATTAATTATAAAAAGGACAAGATAAACATAAATACAGTAGTCGGCATCAAAATACGACTTAAAATACACTATTTGGACCTCCAAAAAGTACTCATACGTACGGAAATACGGTCGACACTGTACTACAAACAAAATAATTTAGAAATAAGTTAGTGACACGTCTGTATGGCCTTACTTAGAGTTATGGCATCGCGGGTACTTACGTAAAACATGTCCTCTAATGATTTGGTTTAAATTGTTTCCGACTACAGGACGTAGTAAAAGTTGGTACAATCGTTGGTAATAATCGCATAAGGACTATATAGTATTATGTTGATATAGTACATAATATTGGGGAGCCGTGTAAATAGATAAAAATATATCAGTTTTCCCTATTCCTCCCACAGCACATGGGTATCGTAGGAGATACTGGGGAATATTGTACAGAGGCCGAGCGGCAGCACTCACTGATCAATCTAAATATACCTCTATATAACTGTGATCCAACATTCATGTCAAGCGTTCAGATCGTGGCAAATATTCTTATGTAGATGTATCTTAGTCCAGCAGTGCTGGTGCAATGTTTGTGTGTTCCGACCAGAGGTTGACCGACAACCACGTGTTGTGCTGATGACGTGATCCCACCCTTAACACCCTAAGCCTAAGCGTTGGTACATATGTGTGGCGAGGATAACCATCACTTATATTTTATTATTACCGTTAAAGCAATTAAATAAAATGCTGGTTAATTAGCTGTCGACTGACAGATCCGGTTGACATCAATATCGGGATTATGTTGCATTACTTGCATTGTGCAGTGTTACGGATCTTGGACCCGTATCGTGGTAACCTTGTCTTTCATATACAATACAATGTTGCAATCAAATTATATTATTAATTAATCGCATTTTATGGCTGATATGTAGCTTATAGGCTCGATGGACCATAATATCTTGGGTTAGATTTCCGAGTTAGTCAAATTATTGTTAATTTATTCTATTTCAAAATTAAGTACTATTGTGGTAGGAGAAGGCTGTTTGTGGCCGTGTGTGGGGCTTCTTATTTTTGGACTAACTTATAATAACAACATGACCTTAACCATAAGAAGAAACGGGCGCCGGGTTTTCGGATCATTGCCAGAGAACATACAAGAAATTTCGATTCGATTTCGATTCCCGGGTCGGGCAAAGTATTAATAAAAAATAAAAAAATAAAAATCTTTTATTTTCAGGCGTCGACGGCCCATAGAGTGTTAGTAAACAGTACAAACTTAAAAACTATGTTAGTAGTAAGTGAGTTTTAAAAAAATCTCAGTAGTAGCACGGAGTGAATTGTGCCCGGTATATAGCAATAGACTCACCCCCTATTACATGGGACTCATAACATAAATAGTGAAAAGTGAGTGGTACATTGTACAGTGGTATAATGTGCACCTCTGCCTACCCCTTCGGGGATAAAAGGCGTGATGTTATGTTATGTTAAAAACAGTCGTTTAAGCGACAAAAGTATGTTAAAAAATAAAGTAAAACTAAGATAAAACTTCTTGAGATAACGGACACTGGCAATAGTCAGTAGAGGCAGTATAGTGGCCATTAGCACTAATTAAAAAAAAGAATGGCGTCTAACGTTACGTCGGCCATATTGTATTAGGCCAGTTTTTGACGTGTTTGCTTTAAATTATATTCTTAGATTTGATGGACGTGTATATTTTATAGTGAGAGGATTTTGTGATGAAGGTAACATTGTGAAATTATTAATACTGATCTTGATATTAGACAAATTAAAATAGTTGTCATGCTTTCCTGACGTTGGAGGTATTTGTGTTGCGACCACGTAGTTGCAATTGGGTCATTTAGTTTTGCATCTATTAGTGTGCTAATGGCATGATATTGATTTATAATGAAGTAAATGAGTAGGGCTTGCTGGTGACCAGTGGGTAGATGGAGGGTTCCACATCTGTAATTACAGCGGATGTTTATAATGAGGGACGATTACAGTGGTAGGATAAATAACTTGTAGAAATGATGGCTAATTAGTAAATCATTTTGCTGTTTTTCCTCGGAAGTAAAGTATATGACAAGTAGTGTAGCCGGGGCCGGGCGGTGAGATGAAAACAAAGTTTGGTTATACTATATGTGCGCATTAATGGCGAATATTTTTGGTAATTGGCCTAATGAGGGCGACGAAATGTTTTCCTCATTGTTATTTCCGTAATGAAGATGTAATTATTTTCGTTCCGGCGTGTTTACCATTTGAGTACCTGCGTATATTTTTGGGAATATCATGTGTTACGTGTGTATTTTGGGATGAGATGGTCAAGTGCTCTCTGGTATAATATCTTTGAGGACCTCTTGCTTTGTTATTTGTCTTTGATTTAATTATCTCAATCGATTCGATAAGATTTTTGTATTTATTATTTCCATAAATCTTAAAAATAATTATAATGCGTAACGCAAGTTGATCATTGGTTTTTAAATTAACCATACAATGTAATTAATACGAGAACTTAATAATAATGACACGTATTGGTGTAGTCTAAATATAACTGTTGGTAAGTTTATATATGTATTTGTGGTACAATACGTTCAGTATGTGGGCCGGGAACAATGTCTCGGCACAAATTAGATTGATGTTACTCCCGAGTAGGCAGCGTAGCCGTAGCAACAACTTGTATAATACTTTGATATCATTCCATATTGTCACAGTTTTGTAGATATATCTAATTTTGGAATATGTACCATTCATAACTTAATGGTTGTTAATCATAACTCAACTGTACGAGAATTTAAGTTTGGCACAATCGAGTAGGTCAACCCAGCCATCATGATCGTTATCTAACTCATATTTTATTTATCTACCATAAGTATTCTATTTATCCAAACTAATGTAATAGGCACACTCCGGACCGTCGGGATACACACAATACACAGGTGTGAATCATATTCTAAATAATTCATTGTTCTAAAGAGAATTTCCATGTTTATGTCACCCGTCATTTAGTAGGAACCGCGTAGTCGTAGTCTGCTCGTCTCTGCAGCGTGCCTCCGCTGCCTCGACCAAGTCTGATTCTAACATGTGACGTGCTCGAGCCTCGCAAGAAGCGAGATCACGAATATTTTGGCTCGTTCCCTTACTCCGTCTTGCGATCTACACGATTTGCATATGACGTGCTGACGAACCGTGGAACTTATATGCTTGACGCATCCTCGCTAGCTAGTACCTCCGAGGCTACAAGTACTGACAGTAATCTCGTTTGCATATATCTATGTTGGCTCATAAATACAACAATCATAATAAACATTCACCAATGATTTTATCCTATAGGTATTTTAATTAACAATACTGGAATTGAATAAAAAATGGATTTTTGATACTATACAAATAACTAATTATTATATTCAGCCAAACGGAATCACTACATCGTCGGTTCATAATTTGCACACTTTTGCAAATTAATATCTTTACCTACACTCGATGTAATATTGTAAATAATCAAGTGTTTAACTAATGGAACAGTAATACATCACTGTTGCCTGTTTCCACCGCTAGGTGCGCTAATTAATTTAATTATTCAGGCATGATTGTTAACTAAATTTTTCATCATTAACGAGACGTTTGTAGTGTCGAACTAGCAATAAATATTCTAGTTAGGTATAGGTACTTAATACTGCCAGTAAATAAAGTGGCTTCTCTATTTTTGTCACAAAGCTAACTATCGGTAGATTGGGCAGAATTTGATGGAAAATAACGTATTTCAATTAATACAACCTCGGTTTTATCGAGTTTATTTTCAAGATAGTGGAGCCGAGATTCAGACCAATACTAATAACTAATAAAAACATGATATTTACCAAGTAGGTACCTACGAGCCTTTGTACATTGTATACTTGTCTTGTAGGCTGCGAAATTGTACCCCAAGCAGCGTACCGCTCGCCCGGAACACTCCCCGAAGTCCAACGTAGACCAGACCTTCAGCTCGCCCGAGCTGCCCGGTGACAGGAACAAGTTCAGGAGCAAGTCACGAGTCGAGCCTTTCGGGAAAACTACCATCGACATACAATCTGCTTCGGAGTCACAGTTGGTGCGTTACATTAAATCTTAACACAATATATTGCTAGTGAGCTTTACACTGAATTTAAGGAAAGGATTAGTGTCTAACTGTCGAACTATTTTTCCAGCTCAACCGAGAAAATGAACCAACCCCTAATTCTCCTCGGTTAGAACATATTCCGGGCAAAGGTGATCAAAGCGTCAGTCCTGTCGCTTCCGACATCATGGACCGCATCAGTCCAGTACAGGAGACCAGCAGGAAGTGCACCAGAATGTGCATTCAAACAGATCCTAGCGACACCGTGAGGGGGCCGTGCAAACCAGAGCGGGCCAAATGCTGCAGCAGACAAACAGCGCCACGAGTGAGTACACCTAGTAGTACGTTTGAAACGACAATCTTAGAATAGTCTTTCAGTTGGCCCATGATAAAGGTAGCTCCCAAATTTCCATCTTTAATCCTTTTAAAAATCGTTATACCAAATAACACTTTCGAGGTCTTTTTTGACTTCGTCACAAATGTAATAAAGTGAATAACACATTTATTTTTTGTTTCCAGAAATCAGGAGCATGTAAGTAAACATTAGGTTTTTATAATAAATTACTAAATATGATTTAGTATTAACCAGTGTGTTTGTGCTTAGGTTCCCCCTTACTACAAGACGCGGACGAAGCTCTGTCGCGTCAGATCAGGGACATCCACAATGATGCCAGGAAGAGCGCTAGAATCATCAGGGACTCGAGGGCTAGACTCCTCGAAATACAAAAGGTAATGTATTGACAGATATATACCTACTGTAGTAAGCAGTAAGTGGTCGGGGGGAAATGTAAGAAGTCCATCACACTGATCGTTAACGTGTCGCACCTTAAATTAAATTATTCATGAAATATTAAATTAATTTTAAACTTTCATGAATTGAGTTAATGCCATCTATCCATGTAAATACGCAATTTATGAAAATTTTTGCTTAATAACAGTTTTACTTTAAATCTGTTGAGCTGTGTGTTCTTTGTCTCAGTGATAACATTTATCTTTTATCTTCTTTCTCCTGCATTCACTCAGTTAGTAATATAATTTGTGTCAGTTAGTAATATAATCCCTTAAAAACCAGGGATACGGATCGGGTGTGGGATCACGCGTACTCACAATACACGAGGCTCAGGGGCTTTCGTACGCGGCAGTGGTTGTTGTGAATGCAGAGGAGAAGAAACAGCGGATACACGACAGTGTATCGCACGCCGTGGTAGCTATATCCCGTCACACTAACAGCTGTGTTTACTACACGAATATCAGTGACGACGCGATCAGCAAATTAATCAGACGAGCGGTGGGTGAGAGTGAGCGGGGGATCCTGGACTATAACTTGAAAATGGCTATCAGCAACAGGGACATGGCGGTAGTGGGCGCTCTTTTGGGTGGGGAGGGCTCGCTGTAAGCTTGAATTGTGATGCAAGCGTGACATTAATATATATTTGTGTGTGTTTAATAATGTTAAAATGTAGTAAATATAATGTAACGTAATGTAAATTTTATCAATAAGACTGACAAAATACATTGGCACTACTGGAATCGGCTTACTGCTGCGTGAGCAGACGTCATGCATTCTTAAATGTTCTACAGTCGGTGGCGCTGTGGACTGGGTCGCTCCGTTCCCTACGAAATGGTTGATCGGACCGATTGCTGGCCCTCACGTCATGCTCGTGAACGGGCGCCTTCTGCTGGAGCAGGTCGGCTCGCTCATCGCGCGTGTGGGCCGATCCAGTAAGGTTAATGTAAATGTAATAAAACATGTATTGTGTATATATAGATATTAGACACAACCTTCTTTGTGGAAAAAAAAAATGTGGTTAATGTAGCACGTAAGATTTTTGTAACAATTAATTTTGACTGTAAATTAAAAGATAATGTAATGGAATGACAAGGGCACGGACAAGAGTCCGTGGAGAATAAGAAATGTAATATTAAAAAAAAAAAAAAAAAAAATATAATTTGTGATACCTGATGTTGTTCAATAGTGTCAGTAGTGTTTTGTCAAATGCAACGACTCGGGGTTAGTGTTTCGTCTACAGAGATCAATATTATTCAATAAATTGAACATAATTCTCAGCCTAAACCGAACACATGTATTTTCCCAACCGGCAGCGTTAATTTGTAACACAAATTCTAAAATCATAAGTTACGGACATCTGCCGCCGTCTGTTTTAATAGACTGAGAATAACTAATGAACTCGCTAAAAGCTTTTCTGAAATAAACAGAATATAATTTTATACGAGGTTAAAATATTCGTAGGTATCACGGCCTTTGGTCAATTTGCAGCCTTCAGTGTTTCGATATAGCCAGTGTGCCGCTGTAAAGTCAAGTGCAGAAGTTCTACTGCAGTGGAAAGGTACTACTGTACGCGATGAGAAAGTTAAATATCCTGTCATGTCGGTGGCACTGTGATGTCTATAGGTTCCCACTACAAAGTACAGTACTGCTAAAAGAGTTGCCGATTTTCTTTCACATCGCTTTGTACTGTCAAACGCTCGGCGTGATGGCATTACAGGAGGGGACCATTGTCGTATTGTACAGAACATCCGTTTCAATAGCACAATACAAGCTCGCTCCAGCTCATCATGTAGCCATGTAGTCTGGAGAGGGGCGGGGGGGGGGGGGCAGCTACATTATGCCAATCGTCATGTTTTAAAAGTGATCAATAATTCATGTTACGAATGGATCGGATCTCCTGCCGTTGCTTATTAATATTTAAATGAATCTGGTATGGCTTGTGAGATATTTATTTTCTCGAACAGATTTTGATTAACTGTACGCATTGTTTACTCCCCTTTAATAAAATGTTTTGTTAACGTAATCAATCGTGTTGCCTCAAATTGATGTACCGGGGATATTAATAACTTCCATTTTTGGCTTCGCGTAAAAGTATAAAATTAATTTGTACCATATAGATTCTCTGGTCTTAGACATGTGGTAGTATGTGCGAGGAGAAACGTATTACATCTCATTTAGTTGGTAATAAACAATGAAGAGGCTGGACTACTAACAAATGAGTGGTCTCGTTATCGATTAATGGATACTCTTGCAGAAATCTGCAATAACGGTGGCGGACGTAAAAGAGCTAGGTGAGAGGAATGAGCTGCTGCTGCGAGAGATGGAGCGGTTCGACCGGATGACTAGGAATATTCAGAAGCTGGTGGACAATGACGTCCAGCTGAGGAGGACCAAAAATGAACCTCAGCGGTGCATGGACTATGTGCCCGGCAGTGTGTATGGTGATTATTAGATTTGTTTTTCTCACTTAGTTACTGCATCACCGGGGTTCTATTAGGGAGGATCTATTTGTTTTCCTAATCTGGACATATGAAGAGCAATCTGCCAGTGAAGTAATCCGCCTGTTTTATTATTTTTTTTCCGTATTATAGGCCAAGAAAAGAGGGCTTACTTGGCCTGTAGCAAATACTAACAAATCTTTTTTGGACTATAAAATAAACAACACAGACAGCATAGTACTAGATCACAAATCCTTCCCTAATTTTGTATACAGTTATAATTATTGCACCACGACAATAGTGGCCGGCAAACAAGTGGAGTGTAATGTTAGCAACACGCTGCAGTGCGACTGAATGCTATGTTTATTCTCACAATGCCTAATCAACAAGCGAGTGACGTGATGTCCATGTAACACCTCGCGGTACGTGGCTCTGTTACTGTTCTGTTGATACCGGCAGGTCTGTAAATATGCAAATACCTATACTGGCATGTATTTGTACGTAAAGCTTCTGCTGTGATGACCGCTATCTAGTATGTTATTGTCAGTTTCGATACATCTAGTGATATAATAAATGTTGGTGTTCTACAGAACCACCTATGCATCACGAAATGAAGATGAGTCACCCGACGGTCCTGCTGGCAGCACCGCGCATCATGGCTGGCCCAGATTTGAGCCACTGCGAAGTACAGACGCGCAGCAAATCCGTACGTCCACCTCCTTGTACCAGACGCATACGATAAAGATATCACAAAAATGTAAAAAAATAGTAAAATATAAAATTGTAACGAATTTTGTGTTTCTTTTAAGGAGATTGACCTGACTCGCAAGCTAAGTGAGAGCTACGACATGCAGGAGAAACTCGCGGCAGATAATGCTGATTTAGAAGTCAAGAGGTTCTGTCTCAGCATATGTACACGTACACGACTAGAGATATGAGGAACTAACTGACACGAGCTGACTCATCAGTTGGCCATTTGAACTGTACACGGACTACATTCTCTAAACTTGAAACACATCGCAGAGAAACCACGGGCTAAAGTTACGATTCAAAACACTTATCACAAAAAGTATTTACTCGGTTCATTATATTATTAGTTTTAAAAATTGAGATCTGTCAAAAATATTTAAATTTTGAACCTATAGTCTAGACGTCAGTTGTCAATGCAACCAGTCAAGCCAACAACAACCGCTCATCAATCAAAACAGAAAATCACAGAAACATGCTACATTAATTACTTAGTTGAAACAGACCGAACCATGGATAGATTAAGGTATGTACTTGCAGGTATATATTGTACAAGGAGCTTATGACTAAAGACCAGAATTTGGAGACCAGCAGAGCACAAGTGAAGAGGCTGCAAGGGGAACTGAAGCTTATGAGCAGAGAGAACAGTTTGCTTCACGAGAAACTGGTTAAGAATAACCCAGAGGTGATGGCTCTTAAGTCCTGTAACTTGTTAGCTCGACTTAAAGTGTGATTTTGTGGGATTCTGCAGTTCCCGCACATAACATTGTACCCAAGAATAATGTTATTACAATATTAAACTTGGGTACAATGGACGCGGCATGTATCTCTGTACAAAACGTTCTATTTAAATAATTCGAGATAAAAAGTGTGATGTTTTACCAGCTGACTCACTTTCACAGGGAGATGCTTCTACGCTAAATAAGGATACCAAATATCAACAAGATTCTAGTAAAGAAGTGAGTGGCTCCGTTACTTATTGCATGCACAATACACTCTCATACACGTAACTGGATTTTTTTTTATTTTATTCATTTGGCTCACCAACAATTGATTACACTTATACAATATCGGGTTACATTTACGAAAACTTAAATACTAGTGTATCCATCTATTATAGGTAAGCACAACATGCATTATATACTTAATGGTTTACAAATCACTATGATCAGAGACAGGCAAATTCAATCATTGACATGGATTTAAGATTCAAAATAACTAAGAAGAATTAGTATCGGAGACAAATTAAATATTAAACTTAAAATTTAATTTGTATTCGAATACCTGAATAGACTGATTGTTGTTCAAAATACGCTAAGATATATAGTTGTTTCAGAACGGAAAGTCTGTCGATACTACTCATGCAGACGACCTGCTGAACAAATTAGAAGACTACAAGAATTCATCAGAAGGATTAGTACGCACTTTGATGCTCTATCACACTTCCGAGACTTTCTTTCAAGTTTCTTTTGCCTGCCTCGTTGGCCGAGTGGTCGCAAGTGCGACTGCCGGACAAGGGGTCTCGGGTTCGATCCTCGGGTCGGGCAAAGTACTACTGGGTTTTTTTTAAATTCTCAGTAGTAGTCTGGAATTGTGCCCGATATATGGCTATAAGTTCACCCCCTATTACATGTGACTCATAACATAAATAGTGGAAAGTGGGTGCTACATTGTACAGTGGCATAATGTGCACCTCTGCCTACCCCTTCGAGGATAAAAGGCGTGATGTTATATTATGTTCTCTTTTGACTTCAAGTTTTGACAATAATAAATACCTAAAATGTATGAAATCGTTTCATGAAGCTCTGTGAAACTTTTTGATACTTTTATTGGTTTTTAGGAAAAGCAGTTAGGTGGATTGGAGCAGGAAGTGCATCACATAAAGATGGAGATGCAACAAATGAAGACGACCGCGTGTCGCGGCGCCGGCGGGAACCCCAACAGTTGCTTTGACCAACCTGTCAGTAACTTCTTCTGTTTTGTGTCCATTCATACGATATCATTACTTATCATACTTTTCATATATTCTTGTAATTGGTTTGTTTTATTTTGTTTGCAGCCGGGGCCACCAGTGCCTCCGATGGCAAGAGCTGTGAGTACAACATTGAATAATGCGATTGTTACTATTAATGCAATAATTGCCTGATGTTTTCAATTTGTTTGCAGTGTGGTGTGTGCCCACCGTGTCCGGCGCCGTGCAATCCGAACGCACCACCGGTAAGGCTTATATAATACAATCCAATTTCTCTTTTAATTTGTTTTACGCTTGTGTTGATGTTGTTTGTCACGGTGTCTGCAGACTCCAGCTGAGAGAGAAGTGGAGAAACTAAAAATTCAACTGCGACAGACCGAAGAAAGCTTCAAAACAAAAGTGACTGAGGTATTACATAATAAAAACAATTTTTGCTCATACTGCGTAGAATTAATGTAAGCGTTAACAGTAAGTCAGCCACAGTGCATTATTCATGTGCACTGCGGAAATCGAAACCGCAGCCATATTGCCGACTTATTGGGCATCAACAGAGAGCGGATACCGAATCATCAACTATTAAAATGTATTTTGTTCAATCTTCGTACTGAATACATATTCCACTTCATGTGTAGTATTACGAAATGTTGGTTAAATAAAGAATTTGCTATTTTTTCATGACTGTCTCATCTACACGTCGCGAATTGTAGCGTAGAAACGAGGTTTGCTAAACTTTAAAAAGTTTATAGGTGGTTATTATCAATTATTAGAAACCTTTTTGATTTGGAGTTTTAATTGAATGCATTAACAATTCGACATTAATTCATGGTTTATTTATTATACTTTTACCTAAATATTCAATACACACAGTGCGCCTTGCTTCGAGCGGAACTGCTAAAAAAGAAAGAAGAGTTAGAGAAGGAGAGATGTCAACATCGGGAGGTCCAGAACAAGATGAGAGAGTTGGAAATGAAATTCGAAGGATTAGCGACCCACACGAACATGTTGTTGGGGACAAAGGAACAGGCCTTCGAACAGGAAGTGAACGTGCGCGCTCTGAAGCAATGTTACAGAGAGGCCAGGGAGGAGATCGACGAGCTCAGAACTCTGATGAAGGAGCAGAACGATCAGTTGCAGGACTACAGGGTCAAGGTAAGTTATAGTCACAAAAACGTACATGAACAGCGTTACTGTACAATAGACAGTGTATGCTCACAAGGCAGATGGCCGTGTGCCTACGTACAATATGATAGTATACTGACCACCGTCTTCGAGGTCTGGCCTACTTTTGTCTCAAGTTTCAATAGCGTCCCACGAATGTATTGACGGCAATGTGTTTGTATTAACCACACACATACATGACATGAACGAAATTGGAACTAGTACAAGGGAATATGAAATTATAGTGGTAGTCTTATTTTGTACCTACATTGAGTTATATATAGATCGTGATCTATATTGGCAAATCATGGTCCCTTGTTCCATGGTTTAGTCAAAAACTTAGCTAGCAATTTAAAACATAAATATAAATTGCGAAATTCTGTCATATCTATCAGTCACAACACTGGGTGAACTCTATTTCATTATTTGACATATTAATGGCTCCTAAAAATCCTTTAAAAAGTAGAGTTTACTTAGTCGTAAGTTCCTTATTCTATTCCCCAGTACATGCAAGCCCAGCAACTCGTGGAGGAGCAGCGGCGTCAGATGGACATGATGGACATGGACAACACCAGGATCAGTGAGCAGATCAATCTGGAGATACAAAAAGTCAAGGTACTTACATACCATCATTTTCTTAATCTAAATCTTATTTCAAGAGAATCTGCTTTCATTATTAAATCAATTTGTTTTTGATCGACCTACCGTCCCCATTATATCTCAATTTTCGTAACTGCTTATCACAATTTCCATGCAGTGATTAAATTTTAATTAACGCCGCAGTTAATTATCGAAAAGTTGTTGTCTCGCGGTGAGAGTTAACTTTGTAACTTGGGATTTGTTTAACAAATAGCACCCTGTTTAAGACGCGGATCAACCGTGTTACATGGATTACAACTTATTGTACGGTACACAGTCGCTGTTATCTATATATATAAAAGAAAGTCGTGTTAGTTACACTGTTTATAACTCAAGAATGGCTAGATCGATTTGGATGAAAATTGGTGGGAAGGTAGCTTAGAACCAGGAGACGGACATAGGATACTTTTTACCCAATTCTTTTTTTTTGCTTTTTACCGAAAATCAAGAACGTTAACGGGAAATATCGGGATTGCGCGTACGAAGTCGCGGGCAGAAGCTAGTTGTTTTATAAGCTTTAGGTTCAGTAAACATTAGTTTATTACTTTATTTACATACTATCATTTTATACAATCATCATCAGTTGAAGTTCCAAGAAAAATTACAAGAGCTAGCGCCAATACCGGACCTTCTGAAAGCGACACAGATGCGTCTGAAGGATGCGCAGCAGGCACAGGCCCTCGCCGAGCACAACGCAGAGCAACTTGCCAGGGAACTTAACTGCGCCAGGGAGAAGGTGAGCACCAACACTACTTGGGTATCCAGGGGTCTAACCTCAGGCACATTTCTTAGTAAGGGCATTAACATGAATGTTTGTCCAGGTTCACATACTGTTACACAACAGTATAAAGCCCCCGCCAGAGAAGTCCCAGGAGAAGAGCTCTGATGACAAACAGGTGGCCATAATGCAGCAGAGATTGGCGCAGGTTACTGAGACCAACATGACGCTTAAGGGCGAGATCGAGAGGCTTAAGTGAGTACTATCGTTAGGACCTATGCTTCCATTATTGATACAAAATGTATACTTAAATGGCGATTCGAACTCAAAGAACATCTGATTTCTAATTAAATTTACAATTTGTCAGAGCAAACGTGATTCGCATGGAGGAGTCAGTGCTAGCAAATGAGAAGCGTCTGCAGGAGAAGATGCACGAGTGTGCGCAGATAGGAGGCGAGCTGGACCGCGCCCGCGACGAGGCGGCGCGCGCACTGCAGCGAGCCAACGAGCGCACCGAGACCATCCGCAAGTGAGTGCACGACTAGCAGACTAGAGACTAACAGCCCGGCGCCCGCACTCGGCAGATACTAAACTGATTGCCGTTTTACTATTTCAGATGTATGCAGACCACAATAGCTGAAATGGAACGACAGCTCGCTGCCAGCCGAGCTCAAGTAAAGACAGCTGAAAAAGATCGCGAGGAAGTAAGTTGTCGCAGATACAGTTGTTAGGGATGCATACAACAACACCTACGATCCAATCTTAACGTTTGTTTTGTTTGTCCACTACAGTTACAATGCCGAATGCAGTGCCAGATCAGACGACTGAATGACAACTTTGAGCAAGCGCAGCTTCGCATACTGGGACTTCAAACACAAGTCCAAACCCTCAGGCGGACAGTGTCCAGCACCGGCGAGGGTGATGGCGACGAGAATCAGGAGTGCGCCTGTAAAAGCATGTTTGAATAGTTTTTGAAGTTACTGAGCAATTACAAGTACAAATGGTTGTTTTTGTAACCAACAAAATGAGTCGACTGAAGTTTTTAGTCTGTGGTGGTATGCTTAGCTATTATGTGTTCTGATGGACAACGCCTTGCGAAGAGATTAGTAAAACGATTGGTGTGAGGTTCCTTTCAATATCTGCAGCTATGTTATCAACGACTTTATGTTAATTTGTTTATTTCGAACTTAATGCTATATTTTCTGAAGTGGTCTTACCTAATAATGAAAGACGCCTTTGGCTCACTGTCGGCATGGCGCGGTTGTGCTGCAGCATCAAGCAGGCCGCAAGCGGCATGCCGCGGCGTCACACGGTATGCAGGGGCGCGTCGCGATATCGTGATGTCGATATAAAGTAACATGAACTCTGAACTCATTTAAATAAGTTAAAAATAATATATAAATTCCTTTGCCATGACATGCAGTGCTATGTCGTGCCGGTAGTAAGCACCAGCTCTTGAAGGTGTGTTTGTAGTAAATAATATGATAGTCGTCTGCTGGTTCCCGCCTTTGTGTATGGTTGATTGTAGCTGCCTTCTGCAGGTAACGATGTGTTCGACCAGCGCGTGACCTTTATGAAACACATCGATCCTTACTACCAAACGAAGGACCACACCCAAAAAGGAAGACTAAAAAATGTTCAAGTGACAAAGGAATAAACAGTGTTTAGCTTTTTGTTTTTGTGGATTTGGAAGGGACCTTGGACTATTCGTATTTATTGTATTGTTAGTTTCTGGCATTGCCAATGGTCTTAGTAGTATGTAGAATCTTTTGCTGCATCATTTATTGTGTAGGGTGATAGTGAGAACAGGATCCGTTCTGTCCCAAAATTAAAACGTAAAAGAAATAAACATTGGACAAATTATTTAGATTTTTATTTTTTGATAATTATGTTTATAGCATAATTATGAGTACGGTAAAGTGAACACATATATTTATGGCAACTACATGTAATTGAGGTAGCTATATATTATTACACGGCGAATCTTTGGGTACCTCCTGTCTTCTTACCAATCAGGTTATACATACCTTTCTCAGAAATTTTACTTAACTTTATTACTCTGAGATGGAATTTGCAAGAGGAGGAACATTTATGTCACATGTTATTTCGAGAGGTTCCTTTCATCTGTCCCTATTTATTTGTGTGAAATGAAGAACATTGTTCAAGTTCACTTAGAGCTTGTCTCATTATCTCGATATATTCAATATTACAATATCGTTGTATGAACTAAATTGAAGTGGAGGTGTTGTTATTGTTGTGGTTGTCTCTCTCGGGGCCCCTGGCGTGGTGCACGTTGCCTGCGGTGGCGAAGCACGAGCGCAGCGCCTCCTGCGCGAGGTGCGTGTCCCGGTGCGGAGCCCGAGCTACCTCGTGGAACAGGTCGATGGCCCCGCACATAACTGTGATTGCCTCCTCAGTACGCTCTTCATCCATTAACCTAGCACCTTCCTAGAAGACAAAAGATACATTTTAGTCAGAAGCAACTACACTGCTAATGTTACCTGTCGTAATGGTTAATTATAAATGTTTTTGAAACAGCGCTCGAGTGATAATGGGTTTGTATAGAATCCTGCCTGATAACCAATAGAGGGCCGATGACATCATTTTTCTCCAAGTACTTAGAAATACTTGATAGGGTTGGCAAAACTAAACGTAAAGAAAATAGTTGACCACTTGTATTCTAGATGGCGTTAGGGGAGACAGCACATTCAGTTGTTTGGTAAATAATCGTGCAATCGTTATGTGGCAGGCAGGTGGTGGCCATACTGGTTGCAGTCGCCATTATATATCAAACCAAATTTATGTATATGAATAGATTTGCGTTACCCGCAAACTGTTTCAAATTCAAATCAAGTATTTAGCCGACATAACATTCTCAGGCTCGATTTGATTTAATTTGAGTAAACATTTAAATTGTACTACACAGCCTAACGTAGCCTGAAACCCGAAGGTAAGCCTAAGTTCAAGTGATATACCTACAACATGAAGTGTACAACTATACTATGTCACTTTACTTCAGATTGTCAACTTTATTACAAAGTAAATAAAGCTCAAACTCTCTGAAATATACGATTGATAAAATACATTTTGTGGTTTTAAGTAAGTAATGTTTTATAGTAGACTTGTCCTCATAATGTTGGGTTGCTGACAACCTTCGAGGGTTGATAGATGTAGGTACCTACGTTACATGGGCTGTTCACAAGCGTAACTGATAATTAAAAGATTTTTTCGTTTTTGGACACGTTTTATTAAGTATAGGCAACAATCGCCTTTTTAATAGGGTTGGTGGGTGCCTATTTAATTTAAAGATTTATTTAGGGAATTACAATATTGTAACTATCCTACGAAGTCCACGGAACTATTAACGCTACAGCAAATGGTGTCTTCTGCATTTAATTTTTATTTATTTGTGTATTTCTCCTATTTATTTTGGGCTTCCTAACACATATACTGTTCTTTAAATTACACTTTCAAGTTTACAACAAGGCAAAAAGTTAGTTTTAAGTTCCCTAAGTAATTGTAATAGTACTACGTTCGGCTAGTAGATGGCGTTGTAAGGCATTATTTAAAGCAAATGTGTTTAATGTTAGGGAACGAAATTCACAGCTACTTTGTATTCATATTAGATCTGTAATCCCACACAAAACGTCTCACAAACATTCAGCTCTTATCTAATATTGACATCTCATTATGAACCTTAATAATGTTGTAAATTGAATTTGAAATAAACTTTTATTTTGCATGTTTTCAGTTTTTCTAGGAATTGAGGTTCAGTTATTTCAGAATTAAACAGCCTTTTAATTCCCATGGGGTAGGCAGAGAAGCACATTTTCAGTATGTCATTCAACTTAAAATCAAAGTCCCACGAGTTTTTAGGTACTAAAAGGCTTTTTAATATTATTTTACAAAACATGCTATAGGGACTACAGGCTTCACTCGTATGAAAATATAAGTTCATTCAGGTACCGACGTATGTATGTATTTCTTGATTACTGATATATTACAGTAGTTGGTACGTACTTGGTATTGTTTGACACACCGGTTGACAGTCTCCATGTGAATCTTGACGAGGTCTCTGTTGATGGGAGTGGCGCAGCGAGTGCATCGGTTGGGCAAACATTGCAGATTGGCCCGGAACTTACCCACGCAGTCCATGTTTGGACATCTGAGGGAGACGGAACACAGTTATTGGTGTGGCGGTGTTACAATGACACATAATTATGTTATAAAATATTTACAAGAAACAATGAGTCTTGTGTTATAAAATATTTACTAAATGGTTTGACGACTATAATTAGCTAAAAGCTACAGTTTGTATTTGGTTTCAATTCGCCGTAATTCAAATATCGGTCTCCTATGAAATGGAACAAGAGAGGTTATTGTCTAGTTGTGCTAATCGATAAGTACTTGAGTACTTGATTAGAGTTGCAAGTTTAATGAGTAGAGGCGCCGCGCGGCCCCCGTGTAACGAGCCACTCGGCGCGAACTGTTACACTACTACTCGTTACATCCTTGACATAATTACCTACTTCATCAATGGCTGAAATATCATTGTAGCCGTGAAAGAATTCTCTTGTTCCAGTAATGTTTATTGTGTTTTACTTTACACTAGTTCAGTCAGTGTTTCATGAGATTTCTCTGGCTGGCTCGGTTTCTACGTACAACATCGTAGCGTTTTTCTCTATGGAAAAAGCTGGTGAACGAGCAGATGGATCATCTGGTGGAACGTAATCGACGCCACCCATGGACACCCGAAACACCAGAGGTGTCACAAGTGCGTTTATGGATTAGGAATTTGAGGTCTTTTGGGGATTCAGGGATTGGTGAGATTAGGGAGGGATTAACTGGGCTTCCGGTAACCTCACCCACACGACGAAACACAACGCAAGTGTTGTTTCAAGTTGGATTTCTCTGAGGCCGTGGTACCACTTCGGTCGAGCTGGCCCATTCGTGCCGAAGCATGGCTGTCGCACACTTATAATGACGAGTCTCTCATACTGTACATCTAGGGTTCATGTCAAACTGTCCTCTTTACCTGATATAAGGTGGTGTGTCTCCGCTCATTTGCTTGAGAGTGGGCCAGTCCTCCCTGCAGGCTAGGCAGTCACATCGGAACCAGTAGCGGGAGGCCAGGGACCGCTGTCGTTCCTTCAGGGCGCGGGTCATGAAGTGGGGGCCATAGTTCTCAGCCACCACCTCGCCCGGAGACAAGGGTCTCGTCGCCCGGAGCACAATGTTACGACCTTCGAAGTATCTAGACACACACATTCTCGATATAAACTTATAATCCTTTTTTATGTTAGTTTCACCATTTGACTTTCAATGACCCTTACCTGATTGCACTCGGGTAGCACTCGTGATTAAACAGGGCTCCAATCGGGTAGATGCCTACAGCGATGTAGACTGGCTTGGAGCCCGCGAAGGTGTGGGCGCCGCGCACTGTCTCGTAGATCTCGTGCGCGTTGAACTGCAGCAGCTGCAGGTTGCGGAGGATCAGCTCGATGACGGCCAAGTGTGCTGCGGATGCAATGAATACATTAGCTCATTCTCATACAATTTTTCAATTCAATCCACAGGAATGCACACATGTACCTTTTTCTAAATTTTCCTGTTTACACTTCTTGAAGAAACCAGCCTTTTTCAAACATTCGGTGAGGAACAGTGACATCACTATCCGCTTCAAGTAATCCTCTCCCTTCCTTTGGTCGGAGTGCGTACACAGCGCGTATATCTGCGCTGCTCTCAACTCCAGCTTCTCTTCCATACTCATTTTATCTTCTAATTTAACTTCTTCCTCTTCTTCTTTAAAATTCTTTTCTGTGAAACTTTTGATTCCCTTTTTAGATCTATTGAGTCGTTCTTTTCTACTTTTTATTTTAGATTTTTTCGCGACACCTTCTATGTCATTAAGGACGGCTCCTTCGACAGTCTTTACTTCATTGCTGATGTACTTGGCGTGTATTGACAAGCTGGTGTCGAGCCCTGCCTGTGTCACCATACGTAACGCTATGTGACTCAGTATTGACATACCAGAACCTAGAACCAGATTAAAATTCATTAATCTCCAAATCATCTCTAAATTTTCCAACTCCGTGTAAATTTTGCTCACCTATAAAGAGATCTAAAAATTGGCATTCAAAAGAATGATATGTGGATACTGCTGCGTCTCTGCAAGCAATGCTGCAGAATGCTACTCCTGAACATTTCGGACACCACACGGGAGCTTCATTCTCACAATCGTCTAGTCTGGAATAATATAAATATCTTTAATATATAGAAAAATTGCAGCCAAACATTAAAATTAATTACGGTTTCCTTACCTTTTAAAACAATGTAAGCAGTGTGTACCGTAGTAGTCTGAGAGCAGACACGCGGCGTACGGCGGGTCTACCAGTAGCACGTCACCTGTCTTTATTGAAGAGTTTGCAACTGCAAACCGACCCTGTGGGATAAGTAATCAGATATAATCAAAGTTTCAGATAAATTACATTAACAAATATTTTACACTTGTTAAAAAACTGAAACAAAATTAGTTTATTATTGTGTCGGTCAGAAGTGTTTTGTGTTAGTGTGTTTTGATTACATTAGCACCATTAGACTGCTCGTCGCTCCTATTTACGAGTACTACGGCTTATTTATTTTCACGAGATAATCTTATATGACTTAACACGTTCAGACCGGCGTGTACCGTCGGTGGTACACCTCGCCTTGGCAGCAAATACTCCGTGCTCCTGAGCGCTACGGTATCGCTGCGGCTACGGCTCCGCTACGGCTACGAAACCGCTACGGCTACGCGTAGAAGACAGTGTGCCATAGCGATCAGGTTACGAAATCAGGTTTGAGTTTTCAGTACTCAGATAAAGTAATTTTTTCTATGTTATAGATATACTTAATGGCGTCAACGAGTACGAAATATCACATAAACGGCTGACTGATTACTAAACTGGTAGACAAAAGGAATGAAAGGTGTTTATAATTAGGTACATAATACTATACTACCATTGTATTGTAGAGGTACAAGAAGACGTGTAAATAAATAAATATAAATAAGCAATATTATCTACACACTTAGCTTAGTTAAAGCTTGGTACATAAATACCTTAGTTTCTTCTTCAGCAATTTTTAGTAATTTAGACAAAGACGGCATGTTCTGTTTCGCTCCACCGGTCAGTGACGTCACTGAAATTAAACGTAAAGCAATAATAAAAACAATAATTATTTCAAAAACGGTATGCACAAAGGAAAATTTAAATATTTTTCTATAAGACTGCGCTTAAGAAGTTGAGAACTTCTTGACCCATTCCCATTTTCTTGTAATATTCTTTAGTGTTCTTCAATGAAAATTGAAGAGTTGTTAGTACATAAAATATATACAAACAACTAGTTATGGAATAATACCTAAGTATTTTAAATGAGTTATTTAACGTACGGTTTTATAAAAATAGTTTCGTGACCTACTTTACAGATACTAATGGAGCCAAAATTGTAACGTGACGTCATCACAGTACTGCCTGTACTTACAAACGCTGCTACGGAACGTTGTTGAAGTAGTCAAACCGAACGAGAAACATTTCATGTACAGACTCCTATATGGAACAAGTATCAGGGACTTGAGTTGTCAATGTAACGACACGAGCCAATACCATGGTGAAACAAGGCTGAACATGACACGAAACCTTTCTATTTCCGCCTGCATGTCCGAGTGCCCGGGTTGTCAACATTTCCGGCCGGATCCACCGCGTTGGCAGCCGGAGATCCTGGACCGACACCTCCGACACCCATCCCATAGAGGGTCGACAGAGGGCCGGCTACTGCCCGGTTTCTGCGTACTACCATACTGCGCTATGCGACCTCGGTTAGTACCGTACCGAAGGACATAGTTATCCTTCTAGTTTAACTGTGTGGCCAATGTCTAAATTATATTGTGTTTTTTATGGCATAATCCGGTAAATGAGTAGACGGATCACCTGATGGTAAGCAATCGGCGTTGCCCATGGACACCTGGAACACCAGAGGCGTTACAAGTGCGTTACTGGCCTTTCGAGGATTAGGAGTTTGAGGATCGTTGGGGATTCAGGGATTGGGGAGATTGGGAAAGGGGAGGGTAATTGGCTCTACGGTAATCTCATTCACACGACGAAACATAACGCAAGCGTTGCTTCACGTCGGTGTTCTGTGAGGCCGTAGTATCACTCCGGTCGAGCCGGTCCATTCGTGCCGAAGCATGGCTCTCCCACACAGAGTTCAATATCTGGTGAATTGAATTAACAACTTCTGTTTTGTTTTTGGTTGAACTTGACGGCGTTTGCAATATGCCCGAAGCTTTAAAATTAATAATTACTTATTTTGTATTCATTGGATCACATTTTAGAAAAATGTAACAGACATGCATTTTTATGAGTACCTACACACACATACGTACATGAATTCGAAAACCCATTATCTGCATTTGTATGTATTTTTAAATTTTTCATTAAATTTATACAAACGATACGTGAATTGTTGACGATGTGTGATTTAGGGCCGATTTTTTAGTAACCAGCAGCTGTAGCCAAATGCCATTTAGCGCTTGTCTACTTGTAGAATAGAAAACCAAATTATATGGAATTGACGTAAATTTTGACAGTTGTCAGTGTCATCCCCATATATTTTTATTTCTACTCTCTCTGTAGACAAGCGCTAAAGTGGCGTTTGGCTAAAGGCTCAGGTATTTATTAACTGTATAATAAAATTGAAATTTGATAGAGATGGAAGAATTGTCAAATGTTTAAAGTTATTCCTCAGTTAACATTTATTTGGCATTAGAAAAATTGGCCTTTAATAGGACAGCTTCAATTCCAGCCGCCTGGTAGCGCATCACATGGGGCATCACATCCCGCTATGAAGCTTCGCAAAACCTTTTATGCGTCGTACTAAATTGAAATAGAGTGAATTGCTGGCAAATGCATTTTTATACTTGTCGTTTCAATATTTTTAGTTTAATATTTTGAAATAGGAGAAGCGAACAATTTACCTGTGTGTTGATTCACTATAATAATGTGTGATTATTAAAATCTTTATTCGGACTAAGACTTGCTAATACTCGTAAAATTCTTGATCACCGGCTGATTATATTGCAGTAGTTATGCGTGTGAACTCACCAGGTTTCTCAGATGTTTGCTTGGGCTGTGCCGAATAGTCCAGACAGGCGATGTCTTCAGATAGCTGCGCCTTAGCAGCCTCGTCGGTACCCAGCAGTCTACCGGCCAGCTCATACGACACTTTGGCCCGAGTGGCTTCACCAGCACCTGGACACAACATTTTTTTGTGACCTTTTTATACATTCTAAATCTTCATGAAATCCCTTTTACCCGAAGAAGATAAAGTGTCCCTGCAAATTGGGAAGCGTACGATACACGTAAATATGTACGCGTCTTATGTGCACGCACATAGTGGTTATATCTTCAATACATTTTCATTGGTTAGCCCCTAAGAAGTAGCCAGGGAGATTAATATGGGTATCACGAAAATTCTCGGCAATAACAGAAAATTTAAAAGATCGATAACCTTATTAACACAGTAATCGAACCAGAGACCTTTAATTATATTATATCATTTACATATTTGTATGAACATTGTACAATGGAAAGCTCTCGTTATTTCTGAAAGTTCCGTATATATGTGAGTTGGCTGCAGGCTACTATTAGTTCACCAGAACAACGGGCGGCTTTGTAATCCTAAACGATGTTCAGGGTGTACAGTTCCATTGTCGGAACTCCAACTGTGATACAATACGCACCCAATCCGGGACACGGATCAAGTAAGTCTCAGCTTTATTTATTATGTTACTTCAGTTTACTTTGTGAGCGACCTTAGATTTATATAAGCAATGGAATATTAAACTAAATACTTAAAAAATCTTAACATCTGACTTTCCAACAATAATTGTTCTCTTTGATTAAATGCTCCGCACAGTATTCTCGTAATAAGTTGGCCAATTTGCATATAAAACCTAGTTTTCTCTGTCAGAGATTTCGTATCATTATCGAATGGTTTCGAAAATCCAACAACAAAATGTCAAAATCAAAAGTAAATCTGGATAGTAGATGTATTGTGTTTCAAACACATGAATAGAATGTAGCCCGCGGACGTGTGCCAATACTGCAATATTCCGTACATTTTCGTTCTGTGGACAGAGTACGGCTCGTCACATCGCTCGTGCGGTCGGTTTCCGAATATGGATCTGTCGATCGACATGTTATTGGGTATTAAATTAATAACATTTGCTACTTGGGATAATGAAGATTGTCCTGTTATACCAGGTTTATTTCAGATCAGTAAATATGTATTTTGAATCTTGAGCTACGTGACGTACCACAGGGTCGGCCGTGACGCGCGGCGTACACATCTCCGCCGAGCCATAACTTCAAGAAATACCGAATGAGATCTTGTAATCCGGACCTAAGCCACAATTGATTCAGATACATCTTGGGCTCTTTCATCCTTTATACCGGGTCGTTTCATTAAAATGCGGCGCATTGAGGAGAGGGAACTGTGAGTAATTCGATATACATCAGCAATCACTGACTTTGACGGCTGTATAGGGCTCCGACACACGTGGAAATAGGGCGCCCTTTGACTCAAACATCGCCGAGTGCCTTTGTATGGAAAGCTCTCTAAGATTCTATGGACTGGATTATATCGGTAGCTTGTTAGGTCTTGTTTGAAATCTCAGGTAATTGGTTTGTTGAGCAACGGAGATTACTAAAACATTCAGTACAGAGATGATACGTTATTATATAAATAAATTGTATGAATACAGAGCAATAAATGTGTTTATAATAACTATCGTGAGACGTACTAAATTAAAATATTCTAAAAATCTCGGGTTACTCACGTCAAAGTACTGAGAAAAGCTCTATACTAGTTTCGAACCCTAGTAGAGGTATTCTCAGTACTTTAATGACAGCAATAGATGAACTAATGAATTGGTATACATTTATGTTTGAGTTTAGTAGAGGCAGCACAACTAGCACAAGTTATGCGAGTTTAGCACTATCAGATTGAATTGCAAGTTGAAGTAGTTGCTCAATTGGAGGCGAGCGTGGACAAACTATTTGTGAGCGCGTGTCGATGCGGAATAACTCGGCACTCGTCCTCGGCATTCAAGTATATATACCCGGCGATATATAATGAAAGTGCCGTAAACGGAACATTTTGTTGAGAAATATTGCGATGCAGTTTGCAAAACTATTTTCCGAGAGTCCTAGCATACAACGGGCAAGGAAAAGTTATCGAGGTGAGTACAAATATACACTTTACAAATTCCATTTGCTCGAGTTGTTGGATCTGGTGTATAGAGACAACTTTGTATGCATCGAAATTAGAACAATATCAGATGAAGTTGACACGTGGCGGTAATATAATGGTGTTATAATGCATCGGGGGATTAAGTTTTATAGCAACACTGCGAGTACTGCTACACGCGCTACACGTAATTGCAACTTGATACTTTGTGTGTTGATTTTCATTCGCATTTGCACTTTGGGGATTAAGGTAGCTAGCAACTTACAATAATGTAAGTTAAATGAAATTGTTCTCTAGTATTTGTTTGACGCATTCTCTTAATCATTGTCTACGCTGACCTCTGTAACAGTGCCCCATCCTCCAGTAATACTGTGCCCTCATTTTTGCAGGCAGTCGCTCCTTGAGCGCCAGCTTCAGGTCTTCCAGAGCAGCTTGAGGTCTGTCGCAACGCAGCAATATTTCTGACCGCAGCCACAGCGCTAACGCCAAGGAGATGCCACCTTCGGAAACAATCGCATCGTCTCCGCCTGAAAAAGATTGGAAAGGTGTCACTTTAGAAGCACTTTGGTAATGGCAAGACCGGAACGTAAGCATTCAAGGGTCAGCTTATGTCACTTCCAGCACTTTTCTGCGCACGTTGTGTACATTTGCGCTTTTAGTTTGTGTCAAATGTGTACTTTAAACTGATGTTTACGAGTGACGCTGCCTCGGCATACGGTACGCGGGCAACTCACTGCAAATATTTATACGCAACGTTTTGAAAACTACAATATTTGTAACATAAAACATGAAAGTTACATTCTCCCTGGTAAATATGACAAATAACTAGAGATGGCACCAAACGCGTGTATAACATGTACATTAAATTTATTTATTTATTCAATTTTGACTAGTCCCTAAATAACACAATTTTTATATAAGACAAGAGTAATTGCGTTCTATATAATTGAGGCTTGCAATAATATCAAAACGTGTATGTGTGTCACAAACAACATTGTATTACAAATCCAGTGATCTATTTAAGTGACACTGTGGCTGCCGTTGTGGCTGCAGCGGGTTCGTGTCCTAATTAGTAAACTCTCGGTCGGATAATACACATCACTATTCCGGCGTTGGGTTAATATTCACTGGATTTTTTATACGACTGTTTCATTGTTCGAGCAGTTGCAAGCTAGGTAAGCATTCAAAGTTCAAATTGTGTTTGGCAATAGGCTCACTTCCATAAAATAACTAGTGCATTGAATAAGGTCCTATTGTGTACCCCCACGTACTGTTTCTTGGAATAAATATACAGATATGTATGTGTATGTTAGTGTGTGTCGCCATGTTGCCGGTAGCGAAGGGTGAGACTGTGACATTTTATTTATAGGACTTGAAATGTTAACAGGGCACTCGATACAGGGATTACCTCGATTTGCGATGTGAACATTTTGTTATAACATGATTCGCCGTCAGGCACCACTGAGTCTTAATTAAATTCAGTTGAATTATAGTTCCAGGCGATCGTTTAAGCTTTCAACTAATCATTAGGGAATATGAGGAAGTAGACATTTAAATAATATATTCAGGCTAAGAGCTAGCTTCAAGCACGCCCAAGCATGCTGTGGAATCTTTGGAGAGTATTAACTTTAATTAGTCCAAGTGACAATAAATATCGAATAAATGGTAGAATAGTTTTATTGTGAAAAATAAATTAGTATCAAGAATAGGGCCCCGGCTTGTTCCAGCGGGGAGTTTGGTTCGCGCCTCACTGGGATAGCTTATTAAAAAAAACTTGCTTAATTAGTCTTTGCACATTTTTTAGTTTCACAATTAAAATGCAAGACCTAGATAGTGCTAATGTACTGTGGTGTGAGAATAAACTCATTTCTCACAGTCTCGCCCTTAATTGCTATACTTTATGGCGACGTTAAAGTGATGTTTTAATATTATTATATTCCTTTATTCTTAGAATGGGTGAAGATTTCTGCATCGCTTCGAAGTATATTGTTAGTTAAGTCATTACTTCTATTACAACAATACGAACTCTGAGTCCTTGGTATTGGCAAATATCAATTTCAATACCGTTTGGCAGGTCCGGAAATCGAACCTAATACTTGCTATTGTTTGTTACGTAATTATTATCTCAACAAGAAGCCAGTGTTTGAAATTGACCAATATCAATTTCTATATCATTTTGCAGAGATTCGCAGATACAAATATAGCCTGAGACTGTCGTAATTGTACCGACTGAACTGCCGAGCAGTAATGTACTGTTAATATTATTTGCAAATTAATGTCATTTCACTCACAAACTTTAGCTCCCGTAACACGAAGTATAAATGCGGCATTTAAATATATCTTACGCCTGTACTCTCAAACACCATTAAATATTACACGCCGTGTGTGTACGTGCTCGCTGGAGGTTACACGCTGGGAGTGACAGCGTCAAACTTAACACTGACTTGAAATTAAGTTGCGTTTGTGAGTGAGGTCGTTAGCAGGGTTTGTTTTTCCGCCCAACTTTGTTGTTTGCCGAAGTTTTGTTTCTCCCTAATATTAGGAGAAAGGTAAACATTTTGATTTACAATCGTAACGTAATGTTTCAGAGCCGGATGTTGAGGTTACCGATCACAATAAACCACTTGCAAATTGTAATCTTTGCCATAAATGGAAACATGAGGTATTCTCCTTTAGAGAGGCGACATATACACGTTTATTTCATGAGCTTTGTGTATTACACATCATTTTGTGTATGTAGCATGTAATATGATTTTAATAGTACAGATGTATAATGTTAAAAAATTAACAAATATTTACGAATAAACATTACACAATGCTCGAATATAGAGGTAACACGATTTTTGCTATAACTCAACTCGCAGAACTGATTATACTCGCATTACACTGACGTGGCTGTGATGTATCACAGCACACAGCATAATGTGTACATTAAATACATATTTAATTAAGGAGAATATTCAATTCAGTGCTAAGAGATGCTTACGTAATAATAAAATATATTTCCAAGTTCGTGGAAGCACTCATAGTCATATTATTGGATGCTTGTATTTCCTCTGAATGTTTTATTGTGCAAATAATTATATGAAAACATGGAATTATGAAGTACACCGTCGGACTGCCTTTTGTTCTCCATTACAAATTGGAATAATCCTACCATAATATTTTATGAAATAAGTTCCCGTGGAATATTAATTTGGAATGCAATGCAACACAATTTTGCAGAATTAAGTTTTTCGACTGAAGCGCACGTTTTGACTGTCGCGCTGTTACTGATGCCGCGGCGTATGTCGCGGCATGCTACTCATGAATATGAGCCTCTAGCATGGCCTGAAACTAGTCGAGTTCCTCGTTTACGTGAGTAAGGTAAGTAAAACGTAATAATTAAATTTTTGTGTCCCTAATGAAAGTTACAATGTAAACACAATGTTGCAAGCTATAACATGTGTATGTCAGTTATCTATTCATTACATTTTCAGGAATAACTTCGAATACACGTGAAGATTGCTTTATTTGTGCCCGTAGATTAAAACTATATGAGAATGTTTGTCTTTTTTGGTGTCATTTACAAAATAATTATCAAACATAAAGTAAACAATACGCATCCTGACTTGTAACCGCAGAAATGTGCCTAAATCTACTCAAAATGTCTAGCGTTTCCAGCAGTAGGTAGTACATGCATGCCATGTTGGTAGCTTCAATCAATATTTAATTAAAAGAATCGAGCTGAGTAGCTGATTCAGCCAACCATATAAATAAAATAAACCAAAACTAGAAACGGATATAATACCATGCACAATAATATTATAAGCATTCTGCTTTTATAGTATAGTGTATTAACAAAGACTGGGACACACCGGGGGTCGACATCTGCACGGCTATTCATTGTCAACACTCTCGAGACTAGGTGACCTGTCTCAAGGAGCTCGCAAACCCTTCGGATTTATTAATCGTACCTCAAATTATATTGGCCACTTCTATCAAAGTTATGGACGCCGAAATTTGACAAATCGCCCATCCGAACATGTATAGGCCACGATCGATTAAAATTACTCTGTAGACCCATTCAGGCTAAAGTTGCAGGTGGAAAGATACGTATAATCATCATATCATAAACAGAATTGTATACTCGACAGTTGCGATGCCATATCGATTTTTTTTTATGGAATAGGATGCAAATTAGCCGACCGATTATTGATGATGATTGCGTGGTACCTGTCATAGGAGCTCTTAGAACTGCTTGGCTGGCGTATGCAAGTGCCTTGTCCAAGTCTCCGTCCTCCATCGCCTTCTGAGCAGCCAGGCGGCGGTCTCGGGACACCTGCGCGTCCTTGCCGCGGTGTAGCGGTTGGATTCTCGACAGCACCTCGTTCAGAGCTTCCATCACCTGCAATAAGAGAAGTTGCAGGTCTATGTCACGGGAGCAGTTCAACGGGGCGTCTTAATAATACTAAAGTGGGAGGTAAAAGCAGACATAGAGATATATTATCTAGGTTAGAGTTCGTAGGGAATCCCCTATACCGGTTACAATTTCAGAAGTTTAGGCTTAAACAAGAAGTAACATTATTTTATTATACACTTGGTATTTCTCTGTGTGTAATCCAGAACCGCTGGTAATTAATTAAAGCAAATACGTATATATAAGTAGTTGTATACCACGTGTTGGATATCTTCCCAAGTCAACAACGACTACGTATGTAGGTAATTTATATATTTTTTACGAGCTAACATAACTACATATGCTACATTTAGGTAGTATTATTCCTGATATAATACCTGAATTAAGAAAAAATACAGCGGCTCCAACGTGTCCCACGTAATCCAGGTTCAGTTTAACATTATAATAAAAATCATATTGTTAACTGGGTACACTTCCGTCCCAGGAGCGGCTCATTGTCGTATGTCTGTGTGTACTGTGTGTGTGCTGGAAACCAGAGGTTACGATATTGCCACCTGCTTTTTTCACTTTGTCGTAACAAGTGTATACTTTATTGCATTACATTTCAAAATAACCTTTAAAATTTCGCAGGAAGGGTTTATAATTCCTTGCCTCCCGTCGTCAGTACAGGTGTTCAATTCACCTACATTATAGGGTAGTTACAAGCCTGCACTGAAGCGACAATCAGGTCAAGTGTAGTGGCTTTCAAAGCTGCAGACTTGCCTAATGCCTGGCTGAATAGAATAGACGAAGTATTGTGCCCCGCGATGTTTCTTTTTAATCTAGCCATTAGTATCAATGAGTAAGGGTTGTATTGAGACGTGACGCGGCGTCAGCTCGTCCTTTGTTTAGTTTTTCTTAAGACGACTAATGGACTGGCTTTGTTCGGTATACAGCTCGCATGTTGTTTGTGTAAGACCTGTGATGTCAGCAGCTAATACAACGGATAATGGATTTTCTTAAGGTGTCCTCCTTAAGATGTTTTGAAATTTGATATATCTGTGCACTCTGCTTTATTATAATCCTTTATGAATTAGGTCATTTATGTATTGTTGATCGTGTTAATCGGGTTCAACCGGGAAGTGATTTTAGATGTCATGAAAAAGAGTTATGCATAGTTATTATTGAAGAGTACAATCCCGTCGTGCTGTTAACTAAGCCAATCAAATATACCGGAGCAGCAAACATCTTAACGTAGTGAGCTGAACTCGAAACTCAATAAAAAACTGAGTGGAGTGTTGTTGCCGACAGATATGTTTCTATTCAGCGCTGCAGCACTGCAGCGGTACATTGGCGGCCATTACTGGCGCGTGCCAGGAGCTTGCGAGCTGCAGTTTGCGGCGCTAGTCAACTGTTGCTCGCTTCTTTTGTATTTTATCGGATTTTATTTTATTGTATCATTGAGTAGTACTGCGCCGCCACTGTTGTATGCTCGTAATTGGTTGCACTCGTGAAGCATTTGCCGCCGGCTGGAGATTGTCGGGTCGGTTCAGTGGCTGCATTATTGTGAGAGGGTGAGAATGTGTGCGTGAATTTTAGTTTACAACTGTTTCTCTAGTAGGTAATATTGTTTCAGAAATGCAATGCAATAGTAGCAGCGTGTTTCTAAATGTTGTTTGTTTGTTCTAATAACATCATATGCATGTATGAAAGAGTGTAATGAAATATGAGATTAGCTCGCTAATTGTAAGGTCGCAGTAAAGTACTTATCGTGTACTTTACCTACACGCTTTGGGATTTTTTACATAGACACACAGACAAGTTATATAATATCTAAATAATCAGTCGCATAGTTCGCTTAAAATGGTAAACTCGCACACTGCTTCATCGTACAAACATAGATACAATATAACAAACTTTTACAGTATGTACATAATTACGAAATACTCTCACCGTCTCGTTCGCCAGTACAGCAGCCACCTTTTTGGTATCCTGCTCAGCTTCGAACTTGTCCAGCCAACCGTCTGCCTCCGCCATGGAGACCAACTCCTCGCCCAGCCCCTTGAAGAAACCCTTGGAGTTGGAGCATAGCGTTATATTGCTGCAGCTTGCAGCGTAGTTAGGGTCCGTCTCTTCGTAGATTCGCGGCATTCTGATCTCTGAAACGGGACACAGAAGGTTCTTTATACCTTGTACAAAATAAGTGCTAAAGTATAGTATAAGAATGATTGAAAAGATCAGCACGTTTACTCGATAAGTGCTTTAGTTGTTGTGCATTGTGATGGAGTGAGTGAGGTTTATATTACTGAATGTATAACTGATCCTTCCTCAACTATTGCAGATTGTGTTTCGCTTTACTTGGAAGTTATAATAAGTAATTGTGCATACATATGCAGCTATATACGTATACGACACCACCTTTTAATCCCCGAAAGGGTAGAAAGAGATGGATATATACAATGTAACACTGAATTTTCACCACTTATATTACGAGTTTCATGTATCTACAATAAGTATTACTCAATAACGTATCAAATCCTTTAGAGCTAGGTCATGCCAAGCGCGATGTTTACCACAACACCTCTACATGACGTAGTTTATAGTAAGCCTATTAAACGCTGTTATTACTAAGGGTACCAACATGTATTCATTAAGTACGGTCAAATGTAATGGCCACAAAGTACTACCTATGCAGTTAGGCAGCACATAACGTGGCAACCCAGTGCACGAAGTTGGTTGACGTCACGAGACATGCAGTGTACCAGCGGGCGAACATACTTCACTTATTACATGGTCAATAGACATCAATTGAAGGAAAGGTCGACCTATTTCTCTCTCGGGGTTGGCACTTGGCAGTATAAACTGGAAGTCAGTAAATGCTACATAAATTCGCGGCTACACTCAACGAGGGACGGCAGATAACATTACGATCAAATATACCATACTGCCGTATACTCGTAGGTACTGCCTTCATTACTTATGTATACATTTATCCGCTACGGACTTCGTAAGCAGTAAACTTATAATTTTATCATTAAATGGATGAGTAGCCACGACACAACTTTTTGATTACAATTTATATTGGTGATATTTTATTTATTAATTTCAACAACTTTGCCCGGCTCTAATCTAGAGGAAATATGTGTAAGAAATACTTTATGAAATTCCTGTCTACGATATTTGATTCAAGTTTATATTGGTAGAAAAATATTGGCCTAATTATTAATTTTGCTTTGTATGCATGCATGTGAGGGATGTAACTAGTACAGTTAGTGGACTACTTCTAGTCGAAGATGACAAAAGAACAGTGACCAAGCGTTCGTTCTAATATTAGCGTGGTGCTGTATGCGCACAAAATGTCAGCGCTCCACGACTGAGCACAAAGATACGTGATAATTAATTAATTTTGGTACATTAGGCTCGGCCCATTACCGGCTCTAATAACATGGGCAGTGGGTGTGCTGTGTACACAACATGCAAGACTGCCAGCTCCTCCAGGATGACAGGCGCGGTGTATAATGATACACTGGTAATTAGGCTGCTGTCTAATTGCATAACGGGCCCTGTGATCATTGCATTGTACCAAATACTTTCTTAATTTTCATCCGAGACCATTTATTAAACGATATCCTAAGTACCTATGACCTATATACGTGACTAGGTAATATTAACGCTGCATTGAAATATTGAAATGTTCCCGGCTCAGCATGAGAGCTTTAATATATAAAAGGTAAAGTTAGTAAGCTGACCACTGACTGAACTGATATAATGAGGAACCACCACAGTTATTAAAACGTGCGCCGTCCGGTGTGTGTGTGTGTGAGGGTGTGTGTGTGTGTGTGACCACAACAAACGCTTAAAATATGATGTTCATAGGAAATGTCGCTTCCAGATCATTATGAAATCGTTCATTGCACTGCCCTGCAGCTACACTACACTTGGTACATAGGTTGCTATAATGCAGATTGCCGAGACGAGCTCTGACTTGTTATTAGTGCCAATTGACGTCGAACGTAATGGTCGCAATCACTACCGACCTTTAACACTGAAAAATATGAATAATAAGTTTCTTTATTCATATTTTTCAGTGTGGGGTTTAAGAATATTAGAGTACTAAAATGGCATCATCAGCGATCGTATACAATGGTCCAATTCAACAGAGACTAGCCAATCGTCAACAGCCCTTGAAAGTCTCTGTTGGATAAAAGAGAAAGTTTATCATAACCTCCACACTTAGCAAGCGAATTGGAGCTCGCAGAGATTAGTCTCTTCATAGGAAATGAGTGCTGACTCAGCCAACTCTTACGGTGATTCCCTCACCCTTAAAATGGAACGGTATATCAACAGGATCGAAGTGAGAACCTGCTTCGCATAGAGTATGTGTATCACAAATATTTAAAGCGCCAGGACATGATGCACATTGATTTAAACAAATTACTTTAATTGTGCAGCGAACAATAGATAACTGCAGTCTGCGCGGCGCATGCGTCGAGATTTCTTCAATTATTTATCAGCCACACATGTCATGTCAACACAAACAACCGGCGGTCTCTTTACTTCACAATTAATTAGTTTGTAATTAGAACTTATCGATGTCTTAGGAACTTAATTAAATACGAGGAATTTGAAGTTGATCAGAATATGTCTCATATTTTACCAAGAAGTGGTGAACTTAACTAAGTGAACCAGAGTGTAGCTACATAGGAAAGTTTCGAAGTTGTACATACATATAGCTATCTAACTATGTGAGAAGTACTGAAACCAGGTGAAGCGCACCAACCTAATAATAAAAACACAAGTATATTTTTACAGATCTCTCGGCAGTGAAGGACAGTCGTCTGCGACAGTAAAATGATGGAGAGATGTCAAGTAGTCGCGGTCCATAAGTGCTGCATCTAAATAAATGAGCCAGATTCAATAACGTTGCGTATACTCATAAATGCACTTGATACCTGCACATAAAAGTACATAAACAAGTTACAACAAAACAATGCAGTAATTGGATATCGAAGTATTCACATGAGCACGACCTTGACATAAGTTGTTCTATTTCATTCTTTTCACATATTTAAATAAATTCGCAATAACCTAACTGTGCCGGCGTTTCACAGATATGGGAAATATAATTAACCAATATGATGAAGTTTTAAATAAATGCCACTTAGTTTTGTAATGTAAACAGCTAATTAATTATTATGTACAAATTACGTTCACGTTTATGCAATACGAGAACAATACATAGCTAGGTACTTACAGTCACGGAGGTGTCCTACCTCGGCTACTGTCGCAGACAAATGACAGAACATATGATAAGTACGAGCCTTCCCGCCCGTAATATAATCAGTGCAGTAATTGAACAGTATGGCAAGTGATAGATTTATGTTTTTTACCTTATTTTGTTTAGAGATAGTGCGCGACCGGCGCGCTCACTGCTACCGATGCGCGATGCGCGCGAAACGTAGCTAAAATTACATGTGCGTGTAACACTATCGAGTCTATCGTTCTATTTTGGAATTAGTGCTCCACGGCGCCACCTACCGCGGGAACTCGTACCATACTCGTAAACTTTACCCGATTATTATCGATCGTTAAAACATGTTATAGGAAGTGTTTCTTTTCTCGTTTCATTGTTATTGTCAGTTAAATGTTATCGACACTATTGGCACATTCCAATTGTGCACCTGTTCACTATTGTACGGATATAACATTATTCTGATGTCAAGACGACCCTTTATAGAACATATACTTAAGTATTACGGGGAAATGCATCAAGGAAAATGGGGGAAACTTTTCTACGGCACCTAACTTTCTCTAAGAGGCTCTCTAAGAATAAAGTGCAGAACTATGATTGACAGAGACTAACGAGCGGCTTGTCAGAGACAGCCTGAAGCTCACCGGGGCAATATGTCCTCATCAGTAGTATATATATTATAATACATAGAGTCCTCACATAAACATATAGTTTATATGACGTAATTAGCTAACTCACTTAAAGAAAATAAAGTTATAAATGTGAGAAACTGTTACACCGGTATCCCTGTACATACCTCTTTGCTCCATAGTATGTGATACACGGTATATATGAAGACTTTAAATTATTATTTACGTATTCGTAGGTACCTATAGATAAGTATAAGTATTATAATTATTGTTTGTAGATAATCGCCTGACACCCTTACAGGAGATGCCAGAGATAAGAGGTATACATCAAAGTAATTTGTCGGCAGTTGATAAAGTAGCTAAAGCCCATCCTCATGCATTCTCGTTTGATATGTTAACTCCTTGTAATTCGGTGAGAGCAATAATAAAGTAGCACTCAAGTACGTATTGTTGCTAAAAGATTTTTCTCAGGCGAGATTTTAATTTAAAACACTTCTTTTGTAATGAAATCGTGAATGAAGTGTAGTGTTAATTACGTATAGGTGGTTGTTACGTAATTAGCTCAGAAGCCAAACACTCGGTGGCAAGTTTGAGTGCCATTTCTGAGGGAGAATTAACTTCATTTGCTTTTATTTGTTACGTACAAAGCAAAGGTAGTGTTTGTGGTTAAAGCATGCGCCGGTGAATATGGTGCTCGAGCTGGTCTCAACGACTTTATGCGACGTTCTGTATGAAATTATGTTATGAAATTTTTCTCACAAGGACCTCAGTACCTAAGTAATGTAGTGTGGGTGGAATCTTATGTTACATATGAGTTAATTAATACTGCGGTCCTTAGCTTTGTTTTTCTTATACATTATGTGGTAGTTTAGAAAATATCAGATATTTTCGTTGTCCAGAATAGTTGCCACCCGATCCGATAGCTATGGGGGATAATAATTAGCCACCGACATGTTCGCTTGTTATGACTATTCTGTTAATGATACACCCACATATCATCTGCTCGCTTAGTTATTACAGAGGTATTATTGTTCAATAAAACCTATTTGAGTAGAAAATAATCCGTTAGATTCCATTCCTAGTGGAATTGATTTGCAAACTTGTTTAAAGCAAGTTAATCTTCATTGGGAACATCACGAAATAGTTCTAAAAACATTATACATTGTGGAATCACAAGAGTATAGAAAGAAATCCCTTTCCTTTGTCAGTAGTGCATTAATAGTGTTATGTTTAAATAGAATCAGAGTAAAATATATTTACTTGTATACGAT